ATAATATTATAATAATAATAATAATTATGACGGTGGCGGAAATGACGATTATAAAACATTGACTACAAAAATCATCAAACTGCCCTTTTGCTTTTACCTTCGTATAATATAATATAATTAGTGTAATATAATGATAGAAGTAATGTGTAAATAAGGGTCTCGTAAATGGTACAATATGGATTCAACTTAAAGATGGATGATACAAGAGTGACACACTCTTACAAATCGTTTAATGTTAAAGTCGTAGTTAGCGCAAAACACTGAGATCGATGGCAAGAGACTCCTGCTCGATGTTCATCGTGTGAATTACATAAATCAGTGACAGTGGTGGATACAGGAAAAACTGCGATACACCAGAAGATAATATCGTATTTGTTCAAATGTGCTCTCAATCAATTCGTGATTGCAGCAATTGAAGCGAAATCACAGTGCTGCAATTTACTGATGGAATGTGATCGACAAACCTTGCTAAATCCATTCAACGACAAATGAAAGCGAACAAAACAACGAGGAGGAGTGTCAGCGCGTATCTTAATTTATATAATATAGTTAACTGGACCACCCATATGAGCCAACCGCGACTCCAAACGCTCTTGAAGAATTAACGTCTATTTTACTCGTTAAACTTTGTGTATGCACTTAAAAAAGTCTCGCGCGTGTGTGTATCGTTTATTTCCTCCGTAAGAGTAGTAACTTAAAACTATTTATTAATATTTTATGATATATTAGTTTTCACTATGTACAAAAACACGTATGTTCGTGTTTATCGTTACTATTAAACTCGCGATACGCAGAAAACAGATGGAACGTTTACATATACGACTCAGAAAAAAAAAAAGATAATTAGCGACATAAAATAAAAGAAGTGAAGACTCTCCCTTCTGAATGTAATAAAATATTTCGATTCCTTGAATCCGCCCTCGCCTGTAACGATTCTAGCAGGAAGAACGTTCCGGTCTCCGGATAAGGATGCGACAAAAATTTAGACGTGTGCTCCCGCGTATAAGAGTTAAACGCTACAAAAATTTTGGAAGGCAATATGAATATCATTTATAAAATGCCCTATACCTCGCGTTACAAGCTAATGGTGATTGTATCTTAATAGATGCGCAGTATTTATCTAATTCAGCACACGCTGTCAAAATTTGTTCTCCTATAGTCTAGCTAATTATTCGGATTTCTCTAGTCACTTTCAGTATCTCGGGAAACATAAAACAGTAATATTAATCTGCCCGACATTTCTCATATCTACTTTTAAATGCTTAATAATTTCATATCAATAATCTGCTTAGATATCGACGAACACTTTTCCGATCAATTGTGGCTTGTTTGTATCGAGTTATCATAGTAATTAGTTGCCCTACCCCTTTTTCTCTCTCGCGCTCTCTCTCTCTCTCTCGCTCTTCTTCTCTCTCTCTCTCTCTCTCTCTCTCTCTCTCTCTCTCTCTCTCTCTCTCTCTCTCTTTCTCTCTTCTGTCGGGACAGTAAGTACAATGCTGAGTGTATGATTCATGGTACTATTTAATTGTACTCGAGTGCAAATCCGATTACCCTTAATGCTCATGTTACGCGACATGTTCAGTTACAAGGTACTTACTGAAGCACCCTAGAGCGTCATTATCGGTTACGTTCACAATAAATTCTTACATGTATATATCTTGTTATATATAAGAACTAAATTTACATGATATCCAACAAAAAACATTATCATGAAGCAGACATTTACACATAGAAATATAAAAACAAAATATCATTAAAATTAATCTGGTTTAAACTCGTATAAAAGATTTTCTAAAAATGTTTTAATAGGACGGGTTAAAAGTAATGTTATTTTGAAAGTTATGACAATATATTCGTTATTTGGAAATTCGTAGTATTTACAACATATGTGAAATTCTATTGCGATGAGAAATTAAAGCGTACGCTTTTTAACAGGAATAGCTACTATTTTCGTATATTAAGGCATGTAAAACCACACCACACCAATCTTCGTAATTCATAATTGGTATATAATGATATTAATTTCAGTAGAAAGAAGATAATGTTTTCAATTTCTCTTTCAATTCTTTGAGCGATGAGAAAACTGACAATGGTTACGGATGAACAACTAGTGGTAAATAGGATGAAACGACGATTAGCAAAGCTTAGCGGAGTGCAAACAATGTGTTTGGAGGCTAGGGCGCCTTGTGTATACATGTATGTATGTATACATGTATGTAGACCATTTCCTTGACCTGTTTCCTTTCTTACTTCTTTCCCCTCTCACTTGCTTTCTTCGCTTGACCAATCCTTCGACACCTTTCTCTGTCTTACCTTGTTTTCTAACTGTCCTTCAAACATTATCGTACCTTGCATATATGCTCAAAGTCATCAATTTTACAAAAACACATGAGATCTGTCAATCAGAACTCATTGATACAAGTTGACTCGTGCACTAATTTATACACTGTGGACTCGTAATAATTCTTTTATTCGAATCTATGCACTCAGAGTAAGTCAATAAGGAAGATTTGTATTCGTTTTTTCGCTCGTCTCACACAAGCAACGTACGTAACATTGTACGTTATGGGATTCGACTTGCGAAACGAAACATTTTAATTGACTTATTAAAGGAAGCACATCTTTGGTAATCGTAAGCTAAGTTTGAAATGGAAATATAGTAACCTGAGATAACATTAGGATTGAGTTTCTTCGTGTTGAGAAGAATTGTTAGAATTGTTTTTGTGGAGACGTAGCTCACAACGTGACTTACTAGCACAATATACAACGCGCAATATAACACTGTGAACTGTGCTAATCTTAAAATGCACTGATTTGCAAATCTAGCCACCAATACACATTGTCTGCATTCCCGTGTGTGTATCGCTATGATTATTGCCTAATCTGTCACTTTACGGTATCGACTGATATTATATAGTCCGCATAGTTTAAAATGTGTGGAAAAATTCAAGTTGAGTAGCATAAACGCAGCTTTCAACGTCAATCGGATAATATTGCGTATACACATTTCTTAGTTTAGTGACGCCTGTTAGTAATATTATTGTACTGATTCTCTGACAAATGATACGATATGAATGAACCAATGCGAGGAATCAAACTTAATGATTCAGAAACACAGTGATACAAGTAATGCTCTTCTTATCGATTAATGTAAATAAATAACGAGTTTGCAAGAGTTAATATATTGCATGATATCGTTTGGGTTACGTAGGGCAATCTCGGGGTAAGCTACGACGTGTAACTTATACAAGGTACTAACATTTAACACTACAGTCACGGCAAATAAATGCAGAATTTTTGCCGACGAGATTCCGGGACGAGATCTTTCCAAAAGTGTTTGTCTTAGAAATCATTTCTCGTAAATTCGAAAGCGAGACTGCAGTGAAATATTCAGTAACCTTGAATAGCAAACTATATTTGACTTTCGAGCAACAGAATGTACTGTCAACATCGATAGGGCAAGAGAAAATAATTATATTGTTCATAATCAATAATATAATTCGTGAAACAAGCTGGCATGGCATGGTATCCTCTAAACACAGTCTGCACTCCACTAGCTCACCTTTGTTCTTACCATTGCATATTGTCTCGTAAATTAAACAAAACTTTTATTTAACTGTGTGTCAAGTTTCAATTGTTGTGCACAAACACACATCTATGATACTCATTAATAAAAAGTGTACGAAATTACGTAGATATATGGCATAAATCTCGTTCCATTATCCGTTTTCACTATGAAACTTGACACCACATTCGTACTTGCATTATAACGCAGCACTTAAGCTACATGAATAACGCCGTCCTAATAAATACAGTAATTAATAAGCAAGATTCAGCAGCTTAAGAAGATATTTGCGATGCGTATTCATCATCGAGTTGAAAAAATTATTTATATCTAATTTGTCACCTCTTTCTTGGGTATGTTGCACTATTAATCAGTGTTGCATCAATGTTTTTCGATTGTTTGATTTGCCAATAGAAAATTGGTTAGGCACAGAGTTCATAAATATTCTCGAAGTTCTTAAATCTACCACCAAATCATGAGGCATCATTTCTCAAAATGAGAGTATCCAACTACAGTATAATAGAAACGAATATGTAATATAATCCTTAAGTCTATTTTAACTTAAGGATTATAAAAGGATTATTCAAGGATTACAAAAGCTATTCAAACTATTAATTTTGAATTGAATATTGAATAATTTTTAATAATATTAAATTTGATTTTAAGTATATCGAAAAAATTTTTAAATTACAATTTGAAATGTAAACAATGTTACATTAATATGTTACATTAATAATTCATAGATTTTCAACTTACTGATAAATTTAGATTTTTGTATAGGAAGTATTAACAAACAATTAAAAGTTAAATTTTACACTGTATATTGAAACATTATAATTATAATACCAATTACATACAATAATTATGACATTAACTCTATTTAGCTAGAGTTACAATGTCTATAAGAATTATAGCTCATTGTTTTGCGTGTACAGATATAATACACAAAATTTAAAATATAATAATGCCACATGAAATAGTGAGCCATTTTTAAATAGCTATGAACTTCACGTCTACGATTTTGCCATTATTTATGTTGATAATAGTGAATTTCTTAATACTCTAAATTGATAATGTTACTCGAAGAATTAACATGGAGAGAAAAGATAAAAAAAAAAAAAAAACGAACGTATAGAAAGTAGGAATTTTAGAAATGTAGAAATGTTGTTGCCTTACAGACAATTTTGTCATACTTGGCGATGAGAAAAAGCGCGTTAACAATGTAAATCATATTCATATTTTGTATACTTGTACAAATGTATTGTCTTTCAAAATTTTTGGGCGTAAACGTGATCGTGGAAATCTGTGCTTCATGGTGAATCCGTTAGAAAGTAATAAATTTTGCGAAGAAAGTTCAAAAGTATGAAATACTTTGTTCGTGTTCTGAAAGATATATGTATACATATATATATACATATATATATGTGTGTGTGTGTATGTGTATAACAGTCGCAAATAACCTCATAATTTTAAATCTCACCAAAGAAATAATTTATATTTTTGTGACAACTACTTAATTGTAAGTAGTTCTTTGTTCCCAAGTAAGGGTCTAATAGTAGCAACAGTTACATTTATATCTAACCTGCTTCACTGTCGCTTGAATCACTGGAGCTTGAAGAAAGCGAACTACTGCTGGAGTCACTATCGCTGCTACTACTGCTCGATGCTGACAATCGCGAGGGACCGCTAGCTCCACCAGTTCCAACCACATCAACAGACTTATTACTATCTTCTGTAACACACAAACAATATATTTATATTATATCCGCCAATTTTATCATATCATTTATATTTATGGATAAAAAAAAATTAAAAAAAATAAAAAAAACTCTATACAAAAATAAATCAAATGCTAACCTTTTTTGGCAGCCTTCTTCACATTGCCTAACTGCCCCGTCACATCTTGTAATCTTTTCTCCAGTTCTTGCTTCTTTTCTGCTATTTGTTCGTCCTTAGATTTACCACTGACTTTTTTATCTATAAATACATGATAAAGTGTATTTAAATATACAAAAAATCTGTTGTAAAATGCATTACGATCATATTATTAAATTATTAGATAATTTCAATTAAGTATAATGTAACAATAAGTGTAATGTTTTAGCTAAAATATGCATTTTATATATATATATGTATGTATGTATGTATAGTGTGTGCAGCTGCTGGGAAAAGATTGAATATTTTCACAAGCTTAAATTAAAAGAAAATGTTTATAATAAAAACATGACTTACGTGGCTTTTTTCTGAGACATGAGGCAACATAGCTCTCCAGTTCTCTAAGCGTTGAGGGTTTCAGTGTTTCAAAATCAATCTCGATTTCATCTGGGTTTGAATCCCTTAATGAGGGCTCTCGAGATTGTATTATGTGTACAACGCGACCTAATTTATCACCTAAAAGAAACCAAGAAGTTTAATAATAATAATAATAATAAAAATTTAAAGTCTTTTATTTTTAATTTTAATTATAGTATTATAATTTCAATCCAATGTATCTTACCTGGTAATTTATTAATATCCAAGCTGAGCTGTCTCTTCTCATCATAAGACATGGGTTTAGCGTTATCTTCATCTTCCGAATCAAACGTTATTGGGGGTGGTTGACTTCCGGTATTTTTCTTTTTGTTTCCAGCCGATCTGCTGTTAGCTTTCGGCCTTTTAGTTGCAGTATTCGCCGTAGTAGCAGCTTTTCCAGGTCCTCGACCTTTTCCTTTTGGTTTAGCATTTGCTGCTGTTTGCAGATGATGTCCTAAGTTTCCTGCAGCATGGGTCTTATTAGGTCCTACAGCTGTAGCTTGATGATGGAGATCACTACCCATGCCACTAGGCATTTTCAAATCGCCCGCACCCATCGCAACACTGGCTATACTAGCACCAACGCTGTCGGAAACATTGGGAATACCACTTGGTTTCATAAGTTCTTTCATGGCACCAGTATGACTGGCAACAAGGCTACTATTCTTATTGCTCATTGGCTTTGATTTTGGTTTATCCGGTTTCTTCTTTTTATTTTTCTTCTTACTACTCTCCTCCACTAATTTTCTCATTTGCTCTTGCATAGCTTTTAGCTAATAGAAAAGGAAATAAATAAAATAAGGTAAATTATATGAATATATAACAAAATAAAATAATTTTTATTTTGTTTCGAGTAAGCTGTACCTCTTGCTGCAAAACGAGTAACTTTTGGGTGCGTTCTGCAACTGAATCATCACTATCAGAAGAACTCTCTCCTCCAGAACTGCTGGCACTACCACTGCTACTACCTTTCATAGCCACCATGCTACTGCCCATTGGCTCATCCGGGACTTTTGCATACCTAACCATGTATTCAATCACATAGTTAAGTACAACTCGTGCATATAGTTTAAGTACAACTCATGCACTTAAATTTCATAAGATTTTAAAAAATCTCTAGACTAACCTCATCTCGAATATGTCTTGAAGTTTTCTAGCCATAGAAACGACATCATGATCGGGAGGATTGTACTTATAACAATTGGTAAATATGAGTCGTACATCACTCGCAAATTCATGTGCAGTTTTGTATTGGCGATTATCCATTTTTGTCTGCGAAATGTTATACGTGTTAATTTTATGTCTAAATCTAATATCTGAATTGTCTAATTATTATAAAAAACAAGATAGTGCTAAAATTTTATATTAATAATTTGTATTAGTAGAAATATTTTTCAAGTTTTAACTATATTACTGTGTCCTATATTATATGTGCGTGATCATATTATATGTAAATTGAAAAAAAAAAAGAAAAAGAAAAACAAACCTTTACAGTTCCGAGATCCATGGGTTTCTTGATTATTTCATGATAGTCATGAAGGCCAAGAAGTTCTGCATCAACAGGTTTGTAGAAGGGCCAAGCATAGGGCTATGTATCATTAAAAAAAATATAATCATTATGTTCTTCCAAATACTCTATTATTCACAATTTTTACTGTAATAGCATATGTAAAAAAAAAAAAAACCCATGACATTTACCGAATGTTTTTTGGCGAAGAGTTCCTTTAAGATGTCATTACATGATTTTAGTGCATCAGACAATTTTTCTTTTCCCTTAACACCAGCATGCTGAGGCTGAAAATTTATAAAAGTACTGAGTAAAAAGTAAATTTATGATACATACTAAATTAAACTTTATTTTTTTAAAGAAAGTTCTTCAATTTCTTTAACTAAAAAATTAATCGACCTCTTGGTTTATTTTTACAATAGATTGCGATATATAAAGATATACAAAACACAAATCGGTTGACAGATGATAGACAACACAAATGGAAGGAAGGAACATGAAGGAATAGTAATAAATGTACCTGTTGGGCCATTGCCCCCATCAAGGGCATATTGGTCTGGGCATATGTCATTAAGCCGTCTTCCGCTTGCCTCGTTGGCTGAAACAGCCATGTTGTGAACCATTGGTTAATGGAATGGTATAATGATTAATATCATTCATGAAGTGATATGATTACACATATAAGGATTGAAGATGTTTATAAGGTTTATAAGGTTATGATACTGTAAAACACGGCAATTTAAACTTCTCATTAGATTTAAAAAATTTGCCTTAATAATTTCGTTTATCATACATATATTTTTTGTGACTTTTACATATTTACAAGCTTATTTTTCATGCTATTGTAAAAAGTTTCAATTATTAACAAGATTTATACATATTTAAAAAACTTACGATAGAGTAATTTCTAGGTGCAATACTATTCATTCCATGAATGATATTCTACTCTTACGTTGTAGATAGATTACGGTTGTGAGTACATTTCATACTTTTAATGCTTTTAATTCAAATATGTAAAATGTGTAACAAAAAGAAAATATATAATCACCTTCTTAATTTGTCTGCCAGATTCCCTTCTTGTAGGTATTTTGGCATTTTTAGAATCCATAGGTGCGTACATTGGATCAAACGCATTTGCAGTGGGAGTTGTTGTATCAGCTTTTCTTTTCACGCCCTTTTTGAGTTTGGCAGGTTGCGATGGAGGCATTACAGTAGGTGTTGCAGGGACTTGTGGAGGTGGAGGTACAGCAGAAGCTGCTTGTGGATCCATCGCTGGCTGCGCATGGTATCCCGTTGTTGGAGGGACAACTTGCTGAGGCAAAGAATTATGAGTGGCCATCGGCGTGACGCCCATGCTTGCCGGTGGAGTGATGGTGGTTGTATTTGTGCTTCCAGGCACTGAAGCTGGTGCTTGGGTACCAAGTGGCGGCATGGGTATAACGCCGGTTGTTCCAGCTGACGTCGCAGAAGGTGTTAAACTATTCGGTACGCTAGAAGTAACAGCGGCTGCACCAGAAGCAGGTCGCCCTCTACCTGCTCCGCCTGTACCTCCTCCCGCTACTGCCCCTACCGTTGCTCCACCTACTCTTCCAGCTTTCTTGCCTTTGGGTCCTTTTGGAACAGGTGGATCTAATTCTACCTCTTCCTTAGGCATTTGTGCAACCTAAAAAATTGTCACACTTCTATTTTATCTAATAAACATAAATGTATTATCAATATATATATTACATGTGTTCTTTCAATTTTTTTCTATGAATGCTTAACAAAAACGAAAACATAATAAATAATAAAGATTATATTATTATACCTTTGTAAGAAATAATTTCTCCAGAGCTTGTGCCATGACCACAACATCCTCTCCTGGCTTGTTGTAGACATAGCAGTTGGTAAACATAGTATTGAAATCCTGAATACATTCTTTTCCACTCCAATAATACGTATTCTCCAACCTCTTTTTGATTGTTCCCAAGTCCATTGGTTTTTTTATGATTTTGTGATAATCCTTTTAAACAAAAATGTCTTTAGAAGAAAAGTTTTTTTTAATATCCAATAATATAAAATTATTTGCCCAAGTGAAGTATTTCATAATCAACAAATGATGTGTGCTTAGTATAGCATAGTATTATTTTCTAATATTTATAAGTTGCAATTGTAACGTACTGGTAAATTGAGTTTCTTTGCATCAACAGGTTGCTGGAAGGGCCAGGCAAATTGATGCTTCCATACTGGTTTTAAGACACCTTTTTGCAAAAATTGTAATTGATTCGTGACACGTCCTGGACGATTCGGTGGCGGAACGACTGGTGGTTGAACTATGCCATTCACCGGTTCCAAGGGTGGTTCATCGCGTGGAGGCGGTTCCTTTGCAGGACTCGCTGGTGTCGTAGAAGCCTTGCCAGGTGTGCTCGTCTGTATTATTTATTTTTCAGTTTGATAAATTATCATACGAGCCTTTCTCTTGTATTTGTTTATTTTTTATGGTATATAAAGAGCTCTTTAAAATAATTTTCAATTATACATCTACATCATTTAATATTTACATGTTAAATAAGAAATTTATACAGCAAAGCACATTTTGCATAAAATATAAAATTAAAAATTCTACTTAACATCACTGCTATATTTTGCTGATATATCTCAACTATACTTAGAATTAATCTTATGTCAGTATGCTTCTTAAATCAGTTGTGACACATTTATGTACAGCGTTCATAGATAGATATACTCTTGGAAAATACAAAGCATTTATTGAATTAAATTAAATTTTTCATATTTTCTTTTACTATATCTACTCCATTAATCCTTAACTATAGGTTGATATAGTTTGTATAAGTTGGATTAAAGTAAATTAGGTTAGGTTAGGTTAGGCTAAGTTAGTTTAGCTTTCCTGCAATTATCTTATTCTTGTATTATATGTTCGTAGTCACACAAAATCGTAATTTTTTGACTTAAAAATTTAATAAATATTCCCTCTACTTGTCTTTAATTAGATGAGAGAAATTTGAATTACCATATTTTTGTCATAGTCCTCTTTCATGATGAGTATAAACGTATATATCTTTTACCATAGTAAAATATAAATGCGATAGTATTGCTGCATTAGAATAAAGCTTTGACCACGTGGCTTTTTTTTGCCATTTTCTTGCTTTTTTTCTAATAAAATTTAGTAATAAAACTTTTTTTTATTCAAAAAAACGTAATAGAACAAAAAAAATTAGATCTTTCTTATTTGAACACATTTTAATGATTTTATATTTTCTATCCTTATTAGGATAAAAACGAGTAAAAAAATTAGAAGAAAACCAATTAATGGTATCTTATTGTATATCACATGGTCAAGTAAATGTAAAATCCCTTAAAAAATAATGCAAAAAACGCGTTAAAATAAAAATTTTAATGAAAAAAATACGAGAACGAGAAGTAAACTTCTTGCAAATAGAAATAAATTCCAGAAATTCGACTATATAAAATACGACTATACCAAAACCGATGTGTCTACTTGACTCAATCTCTAATATTTCTCTCTCTAAAGATTAACTGTATACTCATTTTATATTGAGTAAAACTAAACGAACAAATATAATACACCAACTCCGGTAACACCTAACAGACCACGCGACTTTTCTCAAATGTGCTCGGAACACACTGCTATGCTGGCGTTTACCAAGGTTTCTGCTAGTAGACTACACATGCGCACAAATCTTATAGCGTCGGTTCCTGTTTAGACAGGATATCTATAAGGACATTTTAGCGCCACAATATGACAAAGTTCAAATTAAGGAGGGAAATCACTTTAACTGCACGAAAATAAAACATATATCAGGCAATTTTTTTAAAATAAGAGAATAATTAAAAATTGTTTTTCATTACATTTATATTTAATAAAATTTATTTCATTACATAAATAGTAAGCCTTTGTATCTAATATGACTGCTTCAAAAATCCATATTTCTCAAAACATAGCATTAGTATGTGCGATAAATTGTCTAAAACAAAAATAAATAAAAATTTTAAAAAGAAGATTGCAATTATCATCGTACATACAAAATTTTAAAAATTCAAAAAAAAAAATTAGCACACACTTAAAAAAAATTTTTTAGGTTTTTTCTCAAGAATTGTTATAAAATAAAATCGACAATACATACGACAAAAAACATATTATTAAAACTCAAAACACCATAACTTGATAAATTTTTCGAATTTTAACAAGTAGCTTGTAAAAATATTTCAAACTTTCTTTTTGAATAAAAAAAATCAATTTTTTTTAAATTTTAAAGTAATCTCCCCCTTTAAGATAAATACATTCTAAAACAAAAAGTTGCAATACGTTTTTTATACATTTCGGAACATGCTAATAATTGTCCTTTCCTTCTATTTTTTTTTCTTACAATTTTAATACATTCTGTTACTCGCAAAAAAATGATTGCAACCTTGGTTCTTGAGTACACTCAATAGTGCTTATTGATAACTTGGACAATTTAAAGTATTTCTCCATCTAATGACACTGTTTCCTTAATGACACGATTCCTGGGATTATTAAGAAAATTTATATATGAATTATTTATCATCGTTTATCAATATGAGTTTAAATATTTATTAAATTACATAAAAATTCAAAAACAATATTGTAAAATAGATTTATATGTTGTGTTCAGACATTTTGATTGAAGAATGAGATAAAGAATTTTGTTATAGAAAAAATGAAAATACGAAAAACTTTACCATATCAAAATTATGACGAAATTAAGAATGAATGCATGTAATTCACAAACATACGATGAAGCACATAAAAGCAAATAATAAAGTTTTTAAACATTAAAAGTTTGTTTTAAGGAGAGTGGTCTCATCTTAATAAACTCACCTTATTAATATGTGAATGATTAGCCGAGTTTTTCTCTTATATTTCAAAAGTTTTTCTTAAGGTTTAAATTTTGCTAATTCTATTAACCGAGAATTTGATCCATGTTAACATAAACTTTCTTACTTACTTAAAATAAAGTTAGAAATTATTTCTCGAACCATCCTAATTTGTGTTTTGTATCATATTTGTACAAGATATTAATAACTAAATATGTGACATAATACACATAACATATAAAGTAATAAAAATGAGGTTTATGACTTAAAACAAGAAAATCTTTGTTAGAAAATTTATAATATGTAAAATATAATGATAAAACAGCTAAAAACATAAATTTTGATAGTATATGTATATATCTACATAAAGAAAACAAATCTTACATAAGAATATTTGTTGAACAATGTATTTGATACTGATTAGGTTAAGTTAAATTAAATTTCTAATAATTTTGTTGTATTCTCACAATAAATATTAGTATTCACACAAGTTGTTTGTAAATGTAAAAAAATTAATTAACATTATTATTCCTATTTCTCCTGAATTATTAGGAATTTTAATTACTATATCTTTTGGCATTTTTTAATTCTGTTCTGCAAGCAATAAAATAATATCTGTTGTTGTAATAGAATCTCAACTATTTTGGCATCAAGAATACCAATTTTTGACACGCGGTTAATTATCTGTAAAGATCTGTAAAGATCATTTCATTTCCTGCATTTAATATAAAATAAGTATACAGTTAATTTTTAGAGAGAAAAAAATTTAGAAAATAATTATAAAAAGTGCGAAGTAAACAGAGTTTAAACTAGAAACTTAAGCTAGATAAGCATTTATTAATGCTTATGTGTTGTATAAAATTTGTCTTTCCATCTGAGAACACTGTTTAGACATATGTTATGTCACATTTGTATAAAATATTAATAGCTAAATACATAAAATATAAAGCAATAAAAATATAATCTACAATCAAATAAAGAAAATGTTTGTTAAAAAATCTCATATATAATAATAATTACAAATATATAAAAAATTTTGATAGTAATATGTTATGTACATATATATAAAATATTTTTTTTATTTATGAAATGCATTGCAATAAATTAATGATTCCATTCATGCAACGAGCGAATTAGGCTGCTAAATGTTTAATTTCCATAACCACAGGCAAGCAATTTGTATTGTTTCTTAAAAAACCCTTAACTAGAGACCATAATAAAATCAGGTGAGAATTCAGAAATGAAATATAATGGCACTTTTTTTCATATAGCTCATGCAAATTTATAGAAAAAAATCTATATATTGTTAAAACAGAAATAATTTGAATTAATAATTCTAATTATTCAATAATTGAAACGTAAGATTAAGACATTTATGCACAGTATAAAATGGCATATAAGCTATAAAGATTGACATTGAAAATATTTTACTATATGCTATATGAATGCTAAATATATCAAGTCAAGCAAAAAGAACTTGCTTTTCTACAATAATTGTAAAGATTTTAATTATTACAATGTTTATCTCAAAATACTTCTGTATTAAAGAGAGTACTTACTAATATTCATAATACTAATATATATCAATATTCATAAATTTATATCTGTACTATTTACTACTCTTTATAGAAAATAAAGCAAAATTAGGTGCAAAATTACTCATGATAGCACGAAAATTAGTTGCCAATTCATATTTCAATAATATAAATTGAAACCATAGTCAATATGGTATCTCACCTTCGGTATATTACACAGCCTTTCTCGCTCCTCCACATCTAACTGTAATTCACACATACTATTCAGTCAAACAACGTTCTCATTTAGTATGTAAAAATATATATATTAAGTATTATGCAAGAACTGGGATTTACAATGATATAATATTTAGAAATTTTGTGTATTCAAACATGAGAAAGAGAGATAATGAAATCAATACAGAACAAAATATATTACACAGTTATGACACTACACAAAAATAACAATATGTAAAATGTTACTTTAAATTTGAATTGTAATTTTTACACATCTTATTGTTTCTCTCAATTATGTCAACTAAAACAATTCGTTTATATAATTTAATGCATTATATATTGAATACTGATACTGTGCAATATGAAATGCATTATAATTGCATGGGAATAAATGGAACAATGTGGATTGATATTGATATCATCACAAAATTTAATGCAGCTTTGAAATATTGCGTTAATGAGTTAATAAGCAAGCTGCATTCTGCGCTATTTTGCAAAATATAAAGAATATAACTTTATTTACTTACAGAATTGTTCTGCGAGATGGTGTCCACCTGCTGCATCTTGACTTCGTTTCTGCAACAGAAAAAGATGAGACATAGTAAGTTTTATTAATAAAATAATAGAAAAATATAATAAAACAGAAATAATGGTTAGTTGTATTACATGACATTGATATACTAAAGCGTTTTATAAAACATAATGTACATTATCTTAACAATACATCAAGTTAAAAAAAAAATAAATAAATAAATAAAGAAAAAAAAGGAGAAAATTAGTGAACACTATCTCATAAACTACAGTAAAAATTTGTAAAGAGAATATTAATGTTTTCTTTGACTCCATTTATAATCCAAGTATAATCTTATATTTTATCTATTTAAAAATTTTCTCGAGTTTGAGATTTATCGAATCTTTTTCAATATTCTTGACTAAATATTCTTGATTTGACAATCTATATAATATCTTTAATCTTTAATTAAGTAAATAATTAAATGTACTCTTGGTGCATTTGATTATTTACTAAATGTATTCAAGGTTTGTTATATATCTCCTTTCGATTAATCGTTTTTATAATATATAGCTCATCCAATTCACGATAATGAGCTTCACCTACCTTTCCGACATATATGATACATAAATGCTACGCAGCAGGTAACTGCCTTACGTTGATGCTTGACGCTATGAGGCTTCATCAACAATTGAGATGGCAAGTATATATTCTGAATTGAGCATGGCAGCTCATTAATTGCTCGCCAAGATGATTATGCTGCAACCAGGAAGAGTGGTGCCGAGGAGGCATAACACTACTCAAGCCTACCAAATGGTAGTACTTTGAATGTCAGCCCTGTATACTGCTGTGAGACTCCGTACCTCCAGGCAAGACTCGCGACATTAGCAACATCTGGATAACATAACAATAGGACCCCATATTGTAACAACCCCAAAATTATTTCATTGCTTTAGAGCAATTTGTACATTGAAATGTACTTCCAAGAAATTTATATGTATATATTATTTAACATATCATGCAGAATTGAATCAAGTACATGCTAAAAAAGCAAGATCTATTTCTTGCTGTGTATTACTATGTAATAAGAGTTTACCAAATAAAATATAAATAATGAATATATAATTTCCTTCATGTAGAATATTATATCCTGCATTATCTTTAAAAAAATGAAATTAATATTTATAATATATATGTTACATGTAATAAAAATTCTGAAGATATTAACATAGTTGTATTGTGTTTGTCTGAATAATGTATATAATCTCTTTCCACATTATTAATTTAAATTATAGAAAAATGACTATATGCTTGTTTTCTTTCAGTTTTAATTTCTTCGATTTTTTTCTTTCAAAATAGACATAATAAATACTTTGACAATTTATTGATCTAATGCTTTTAAATAGATAAATTAGTCTTAAAATCTTTTTTTATCTTAAACACTTGTTTAAGACATGTGTGTGTATATATGTGTATATCTCTTAAACAATTGTTTAAGATAAAAAAAATTTTAAGATATATATATATATATATATATATATATTGCTGTTAAGAAAATAAATTTTTTAATATATATATATATAAACTAGAAGACATTAATTTATATCAATCTAACTTAATTCTATAAAAAAAGAAAATAATTAAATATAACAATTAAGAGAAGAAATCTTTAATAATATAACTTTGTACTTGTACGAAAATGTAACCAGGGCCTTTATATGAGGGCATAATATAGTCGTCAAACATCACACATCTGATTATAATATAATATATATAATCGAGACTCCATATTTCTAAAGATAAAAAATTTTCAAGCCTACTTTAATTTGGAACTGGATACAAGATTTGGTATATCTCATATAAGTTCTCAATGGCCAGAGTAAGCTAAAATGGAAAGTTTGATAAAAGTAGCACAAATAAGTGGTACACTGGTATAGAAAGTGAGGTGGCTATTAAAATGCAAAATTATCAGTGCACAAGGGAAGACATACACATCGCGTCGATGATGGGCCGTTAAATTTCGGCTATTCATAGATAAGACTCGCGAATATAACGAAAAAGATCTTGCCAGAAAAATCCACGCTGTGAAGAAGCTGCAGTCGCGGCAAGCCAGGTATATCAAGGGCAAACAGATAAGAGATCTCGCGTTCAATTCGAACAGGTGCTCCGTGGTCGAAAAAGACCGTGGAGAAGAGGAGAGACGAGATCCACGAGACGCGAAAGAGAAATAAGCGTGGCAACGAGGAGAATGATGATGATGATGATGATGATGATGATGATGATGATGATAATGATGATGACGACGACAACGACGGCGGTAACAGCGGCAGCGGCAGCGGCGGTGGCGGTGGCGGTGGCGGTAACACTACGGCGGCAGTGGAGTAGGAAGTGGTGGAGGATGAATAAGAGAGAATGGCAAGGCAAAGAGTAGCGAATCCGCGCCCAGCCGATGCACTTAGCGAACACATAACAAACATGAGCAAACCGCCGCACAGATAATTGAACCAGCGAACGAGTGAATAAACGAACGAAAGAACGAACGAACGAACGAGGCGACTAGCGCCACGGTGAGAAAAATGACGCCGTGAAGATTCACGATGTTCGCGAGAGGCCAGAACGGGAGTCTCTGCCGCGCGCGCGGAAACCCGGGCTACCTTACCGGACACTCGATTCGGCGTAGGTCTCAACATGGCGGTATGGCCGTTCGAGAAAGAAAGCTCCCAAGGGCCCGCCGCTACGTCGCGCCGCACTCGTGCATCACCACGGCTATACGCGCCACGCGCGCTTATACCTATCGCATTATAGGATCCGTCAGGGCCCGGCGTCGCTTGCGATCACTTACCTGATCAACGGAAGTCCACTTTTCCACGGGAATTCAATCGAAAAACACTACCACTACGCCTCGGACACTCGCACTACGCTTTCTCCCTCGCTCGTTTGGTTGGTCGGGTCGGTGTTATGGCCGCCGCGCGAATAGTAGCCCTACCGTATATCACTCACTCACTCTCACTCGTGCGAGCACGAGCGCTCGGTTCGCATACGCGACGAGAACGCAGAGACGCGGTCCGACTAACTAGTCCCAGACTTATCCGTACACGTGTCCGTCTCTTTGCGCGATTCGATATCCGTATCAATAGCCCGCGTTGAGCCACGATATTTTCCTGGAACTTAGCGCAGTCGAATGCCTTTCCGCGCCCATGACGATTTCAGATCTAGAAACTAACGATCGCAGCACCAACAATGGCTACGCATTCTTCCGCGACGTACCAAAATGGTCCTGTTCCGTCGTTTCGCAAGCACAACCTGTCCGTCCTCCTCCCTCACCTCTATCACTACTACACGAGCGTTGCTGAACTTAGCCGAGTATGGACGAAGTCAAGCGCGCCAATTATGAACAACACAGCGACGCCTACCAGACTTTGTTAGATTCTTTAGTTCGATAAAACATACTTATTGTCAGTATCGATCCTATCCAGTTACTCAAATCATAGCAATATTGTTACGCTATGTCGCTTTCAAGTGTTCTCCGTAATTTTGAATTCCTAAAATGTACCTAATAGATTACCACAAGGATGCATAGATACGCTTCTGCAAGGTATGCTGGATAATAGTGTGTCGATTGATATAGAGGGCGCAGTAGGTATTAATCTGTTGAACACTACGATATTTTATTACGGTATTCAAAGTACAATGGCAACATATATTGTAATATTCACACATCTTTATTTGCAGAGAAATATATACGTGTACACTTTATTAACCAATCAAAAAATAAACGGTCAATTTCCATCGTTCCATGTCCACCCATAATGCACTCTTCGAACACGAAATAAAATTAATATAAATGACAATAACAATTAATTCGTTGTTATTAACCAAATTAATGCGCGAGGCAATTATAACTTGCTGTTGTTGTATACAATTTAACGTTGCAAATTATTAATCATCATATCTGTCTGTCTGTCTCTTTCTCTCTCGTAACGGTCCAATTCCACGATTCTACTGTTGCCACGCGACGCATTATGGGAAAGCATAAGATGCAAAATCCATAATTATGCCACCAATATACAGACCATGTTCTAATAATCGCTTTAATGCTTGTCGTAAATAACAGAACAATTGTGAGAATACAATTGAACATGGTCAGATTCATGTAATTTGTGTAGCATTCCACAGTGACGTGTGCGTCGTCATTGACATATCGAATCCCGTTAGAATTATTCAATATGGCGATACGCAAATAATTGACCTTTGCATCATCCACTACGGCTTTCAGACGTACCAAATGAGTGTACAGAACATGAGATACATATCAATACTGTGTATAATACTATAACGTATTTAGTTTCGAATACGTTACAATACTTTTAAGATCTGAAAAATATAGCGTGGCCTTTACAACACACCACAGATATTGGACTCGTAATACGTCACTACGAAAGTCAAATCAAGTGTTGATGATAATAACCGTTTATTTCATCGCAACATGCTTACGAGAAATATTGTAATTTCAAAGAACTAACGTTTCAGTTTATGTGAAGATTCCTGGTGAATAGTTGATATGTATGTGATGTACACTATCTCACAGTAAAGGCACAAAATGGCGTCGCAACAAAGGACCTGTGAATCACTACGAACCGATCACGTTACTATATCAGACTAATTCTCACTGCGTGATCACGTCGTAAGGTACCGCACACGACTTAGACTTGATAGTTTAGCATAACGCACGAGACTACAGGATGCTCTATCTCCGATGAAACTACCTGACATTGACAAGCCCACTTCTGCTTTGATGACGTAATGAAATACGAAAGTCAAAAAAGAAATACGTTCATGATAGAGCATCTGGCTTTGCGCATTTTCCGGTTACCATTTAACTACGCGTTCTGAGTACCGATTGGCTCGTGTTTATAGCGTCTTTTTGACGCTACCCAATCGTCCAAGGGACAAATATTGATGAGTCATTGCGTTCAGGTATACCTATCCGTAAATAAAAATAACGGTAAGTGTTTTCATTAAGCTGTTTTCAAATGACATAGTTATAATATGCCTCAACGCACACATTAGTAATTTTCTTTGCCGTTTTTTCTATCCCAATCATTATCGTTAAATAATGGTATCTATTTCCTTGGCATGTTGAAAAATCGATTAGTCAATGTTAGCTGTCATGTAAGAATTACATATAGCTGGCACAATGTATGTACACACATACATACACATTAAAGAAATAAATTTAGTTTATACAGTATGCCTTACCATATATTATATTTACATCACCAAACTATGCCAATTTAATATATAATACTTGATATGATTCTTGATCAAACTTTACTATAAAATTATTTATCAAAAATATGATTATCAAATTGGTGTAAATTAAAAATAATTGCTAAAATAATCATGTATATGTACGAATAAAATAATTAATAAAAAAGACAACAAGAAAACAAATAGAAAATATTCACATATATAAGTTTGTTCTCATTCCTATTTACTACACAATTTTTTTTATAAAATAAAATTACATATAGCTAGCACAATGTACAAAACACTGGACATATCGTTTGAAGTCGGTTTTATCTTACTTGCTTCAGATAAAAATAAAAACTTAAAAATTTCCCAAATAACTATCAAATACTATCATGCAAAAGTTATTATTGTGCCTAAAAAAGATTCTCATTAAAGAAAAGGAAGTTAAGATTTTCCAAATAGATTTAAATTTTGAAAACAAAGTTTCAAAAACAAAGTCATTAAAATTATGACTAAAAAATATTTTTTTTTTGTTTAATCATTAATTTCAAAGAAATCATTAAAAAAATTAATTCAGTTTATACGATATGCCTTACCATATATTATTTACATCACCAAACTATGCTAATTTAATATATAATACTTGATATGATTGTATCAAACTTTACTATAAAATTATTTATCAAAAACACTACTATAAGATGTGTAAATTAAATAATTGCATTGTGTATATGTACGAATAAAATAATCAATAAAAATCAAATAGAAAATAATTATATATATAAGTTTGTTCTCATTCCTATTTACTACACAATTTTTCTTATAAAATAAAATATCCGAATATTATATTGTATAGATTTTTATTAGACGATTCCCCAAACTTCTTCAAACGCTGTACATAATTTACTACATGTAACAGCAGCTGATAAAGGATAGTTGCTTATTGAGAAGGTATCTTCTGTATAATCTGCTTTAACCTAAAATGATGCAAAAATATGAAGCTTATCTAAATTATATCTTTTAATGCTATATAGTAGCAATATTATTTAATAACAATTTACTTGGCCATGTGCCATAGCTCCAACTACCATTGTAATTGGAACGTCAGAAGGTACGAGCTCTCGTGGATTTAACACTTTTTTTGCATGAAATGACATTAATGTTTTATGACAACCAACTGGCAAGTGATCTGATATAGGATTTCTGATTACTTTAAGAAGCTTCATTGGTCCATTAGATGCTCTGATATTAAATTTATGTAATAGTTGTACTGCAATAAGATATTTAATAGATTAATAATAAATTTACTGATTGTGTATAATATTAACTCATGATAAAAATAGATTATATTTACCCATCAGTCCAGCAAAACGTTTAAATGTTCTCGGTATCCTAGTTTGTGGATTAATTTCTATTAATACATTTTTTTCTGTATGGATATAAACTTGCAAAAATCCAGCTCTATTTAACGGACTGTCCATCAACATTAATAGACATTGATGAGTGATGTCTGGTCTGCATGTGCCTGGATCACGATTGTTTTTCTTCAGAATGTTTATATGATCATCACAATTCAATAGTTCAAAACTATTTCCTATCTGTAAGATATAACTATAAAATTAATTTCTTTTACGAACTAATTAATTTTGTAAATTAAAAGTTAAAAACATAAAAAGCATACAAAGAAACAACTAATAAAAGTAAACAGAAGAATTTTAAATTTAAATATATAATATTATATAAATGTAAATATTGTAGAAAAAAGAAATATAACCTTACCTTCACAGATTCTAATTGAGCATTCTCTAATACAATGATAAGACGTTTCTCTTGATTTTTTATGTGATTTATTTGTAAATGTTTAGGAGCAGGATCATATTCATAATCATCGCGATCATGCCTTTTCCTCTTATTTCCCATTGTTTATTTAATAAATGTTTAATCTGAACCCAATTAAATTCTCACACAAAGCACGTTTAACTTTTACCAACTTTTACTAGTGAAATTGAACGCATTGGCTGCACTGTGTGATGAGGTTATTTCACTGGGCATCGATCATGTAATTTTGCCCTAGAAACAGAAATGTGAAAAATGAAAATTTTCACTTATAGCGTTTTCGATTATACAGGATTTGAACGACCCAGTGCCGGGATTCTGTAACTCTTTAACGACAAAAATCGTTATCGTTAACTATCGATATCGATGATAATCGCAAAAGGTTATTCTGTAACTAGTGGGTATCGACAATTCTCGATATTTGAATCGTTAAATTCCGAAAAGTATCGAAGCCGTGTCGATGTGATTGCGATCGATGCCGGAGGTCTCGCTAAGCCATTAACGATAGTAGATGTGAGTCGGTGATACGTTAGTGTGGAATGCATACATATATATGTAATACATGTGACAATAAAATGTTAGAAGTTATTGATAAAAACAGCTAATACGGATTGAAAGTAAGTGTAAATACTTCCATTCTTTAAGCCTTGAACTTTTATCTTTCATATATATACAGGGTGTTTCATTTTTGTTTAAAAGTAAAGATTTAAGTGACATATACAATATTCAGTTTTCAAAGTGAATAAAACAATAAAAAAAACATAATCTCAATCTTAGATAAACAATGTAAAATAAAAATAGTATTGTAGTCGATTTAAACTGTTAATAGTTTCTCTGATAAAACAATTTTATAATTTTTTATTTTAGGATGGCTCTCGGCTATCTTACTTTAAATTTAATAATGATGGAAGATCATGTCCAACACCTTGAACGAAGAGTAGAGAGACAATTGTTGCGAACAACAGAAAATCCATTTGATTTGACAAATAATGAATTAGGAGTTGTACCGCTTAACACCGGACTTAATTTTTGGTCTTGTCGATGCATTAGAACCTCGATTACAGCGGACAAGGATCACTGGTTTGGCTGTAGAAAAACAAGTAATACAAATTACAATTTGTAACTGTATATACAATATTTTTGTTTTATTACATTTATTATACTTATCTTTTTCTTTATTTGAGTTCATGATATTCATATATATTTTATATGTTATAGGTATTATCGGCAGTAAGATTTTATGCAACTGGCTGCTTTCAACGTCCAGTAGGTGAACAGTGGGGCATTTCGATGAGCCAGACATCGATTAGCAGATGTATACACAAAGTAACAGATGCGATCAATGAATTAATATTTAGACAATGGGTACAATTTCCAATGACTCCAGGAGCCAGGCAATTAGCAAGAATGAAATTTCAAAATGCACGTCAACCGTTTAAAGGAGCTATCGGAGCGATTGACTGTACTCACATAGCGATCCTTGCTCCCAAAGAGCATGAAGAAGCCTACATTAATCATCATGGATATCATTCATTGAATGTGCAAATGGTAAATATTTAAATCATTGATTCATACAAAACGTGTTTTATATATTTCAATTAATGACATTCAATAACTTAATCTATTAGATATGTGACCCTAATTTAAAAATACTCAACGTTAATGCAAGATACCCTGGAGCACGACACGATGCATATATATGGAATGCTTCTGCTGCGCGACGAGTTATGGAACGCGCGTACAATCGTGGTGAACGACAAACATATCTTATTGGTATATAATCTTAACTTTTTATTAAAGATGTTTGTTGTACAAAGTTTTTATTTTGTCGATTTATTGTCGACATAATACTTTATACTCTACTGTTTATTCTAATGCATAAATTTTATGTTGTGTTGAATTTAAAATGTATTAAAAATTTTTAACGGAGCTGAAATAAATCTAGAATATTTTATTTATACAGGTGATTCAGGTTATCCGTTAGAACCGTGGCTATTAACTCCTTTGCCACGAGAGCCGGAAGGAACTCCACGTTTTGCATATAACGAAGCATTATGTAGCGCAAGAAATTGTATTGAACGTCTCTTTGGTGTTTTGAAGTCTACCTGGAGATGTCTGTCTCGCCACAGAGTTTTGCAATATGAGCCTGGCTTTGCTGGAAGAATTATCAACGTTTGCGCAGTCCTCCATAATATGCGGAATTATTACGGCATATTTAATGATGATCTATTAGATGAGTATAATGATAACGAACATATATATGAAAATTGTAATAATGCTCATGATATAAATTTGGATAATAATATTCGTGGACCTCTTGCTATTGCACGTCGCATTCAAGATCGTTTAATAGCAGAAAGATTTACTAGATAAAATTGCACAATGTATAATGTATAATATATGTATAATATAAGTATAATGTAAATTTAAAATAAAAGACTGAAATTTTTTAAAACTTGAGTTAGCATACTATAATAAAAATGTTTATAACTAGTTAAAATATAGCAAATTGTATTCAATCGTGAATGAATTTAATAAAAAAATAAGAAAAAATTAAATATTTTTTTATTATGATTATGAGTTGTTTATTTATTTCAATCCACTATAGTGTAATAAAAAGCAAATAAAATTAACAAATTGCCAAATAATTTTACTCAATTGAAAAATATTATTAGCATATAATCGACAATAACATACATGTATACACAGGTTTGAATATAAAAATTAAAATACACAAATCT